AGTAATTGTCTCACAGTTCTGGAGGCTAGCTTTTCTCAAGAGGAAACATTTACACATTAGTGATATTACACAATGGGGACTGACACAGCCAGGATAATCACCGACAGTGCAAAAATGACACAACTAACAAATGAGTTCATTGAAACCCTTTGTCACCAGCTTGCTTTCCCTGTGATAGGAGGCCTCAGGTAGACAGGTGTGGACAGTCTCCTGAGGGACATCACTATTAGTCGATGTAATTGTAACAGCCTCCTAAGTGTTCTCCCTGCCTCCTGTCTCGTTCCCTTGAAAAATACAGACTATTTTCCACATTTCAGCCAGAACTTTTCTCCATAAATGCAAATCTGATTATACACCTCTCCTGTCCACGGTCCTGCCATAGTTTCCGGTAGCCTCAGCGTTGCTACTGCCCTCACAGTCCATGGTGAGTTGGCTTCACCTTCCTGCCTCAGGCTTCACCTCTCCCCTGGCCCAGCCACTGAACACCCTCATTTCCCAGTTACCACCTGCTTCCTCCATGCCGTTGCCCCTGCCTGGGCCCCTTCTGCCAGGAGCGTGCCATGCAGGCCCTGCTCCTCCCAGCTGGACCATCAGGACTCAGTTCCAACATCAACTCCTTATGTGCTCTTCTCCCATCAGCCAATTGGGTTCCAGGCCTTCTCATGCAGACGTGATGCCCTGGAGATTTCATCCCACTAGTTATCACCACTAATAGTCATCCGTGTCATCCAGAAGCTTCTTGGGGAAAGGACTATACCTCATCTATCTATATGCTGTCACAGCCTACTTGTTACAGAATTGGTACTCGATCAACATTTGCGGAGAGAATGCATGGATGGATGAATGAGCCATAGTTTAACCTAATAAATTGTAAGGACATGGCTCTGGGCTCTGTCCTGTGTGTCTATGCTGTTAGGTCCCCAGCAACTCAGGGCTCCTTATGGGAGCTAGCACCAACTGCGCATGCCCTTCTCAGCCCTGTCCTCCTATGTTATGGGCGGATGTTTAAATGTGCTCCAATGTCTGTGAGCAACATGGGTGGGTGGAAAGAAAGGGTGTAGACTGACAGAAGGAGAAAGCTCAGGAGAAAAAGTGTGAATGGGAAGAAGAGAGAGAAGGGATTTGTGTGGTGAGTGACTCATATTCCCGGGACAGAGTGATGGAGCTGACACCATCTCTTCGTTTTCTCTCCACTGTTTCCACATGTCCTCCCCGTGAAGGCAAATGCAAACGGGCAAGAAAATCAGACAAAAATTCTGTGCTGTGGGCACCCAAACAGCAGATGCCCCTAGAGAACAGACAGACTGAGGTGAGACACCAACACTCCCTTTTCTCATAGAAGTCTCTGGATATAGATAACTTCATGCTAGTTCTCTTGGGGCCACATGTGTAAGAAATGCCCTGGAGACCGGCCAGGCACTGTAGAGGCGGCCAGATGCTGATGCGTTAGGAGAGGCCAGCTGTCCCCAAGGCTGAGTCCGTGCTGGACTGGAGCCTGCCTCTCCCCTGCTTGCATTTCTGCCGACATGGCGGTGTCTGGGCTACTTCTGCTGCCCTGTGGCAGGAGGAGCTCTGAGGCCGGCACCTTGGCACACGCAGTGCCAGTGCAGGGCCTCCTCCCCATGGACACAGCCTCCTGCTGCAGGTGGGAAGGCAGCTGTCCCTTGCCCCACCCAGTGCCCCACTTCTACCCTCTGCACCTCATTAACCGCCGCAGTGACCCTTGGCTGCTCTGGTTGTGTAAGAGTCGGGACAAGGAGTGAAATGTGTGTCTCTGGGTGGCCCCACTGCTCACAACAGCCACCGCATTCTTGCCCTCAGATAAGAAGTGCTCAGGAGCTCTCTATCCTCATCTTACGTCAGCACATGGGAACATGGGGAGGATCTGAACAGATCCTCATCATCATAGCAGGCGCACTCCCACTTCCCATCACTCCGAGACAGTGATGTGGGTACCGAGGGACACCAGTCATCTGGGAGAGGACCTGCTTTTAAACAGCGACCTTGCTCAGGACACAGATCTGGGCAGTAAGCTCTTTGCCAGGGGGAGCACCACCCAGCCACAGATTCTAACGAGGGAGTCGCTTTGGCTCTGCTGCTTTGGAGCTGGCCCCTTCCCCCCAGACTGTTAGCTGCACGGGCCCAGCTGGGCGCCAGCAGCTCCCACACGGGCCTGTCACGGCTGCGGCCCCGACTTTCTCCTCCCAAATGTGAGCATGTGGGGCGCACGCCTCAGCCTCCTCTCGGCTCTTTCTCAGCACCGGGGGCACCCTGCTTGCTCCCCCTGTTCCACGGAGATGGTTTGGGCTAATTTTGCTGCCTTGGAAACTGGGTTGAAAAATGGGCACGTGGAGCCCTGGCCGGGGTGGCTCAGGTGGGTGTGCATCATCCTGGGCACGGAAGGGCTGCCATTTCAGTCCCTAGTCAGGGTGCAGGAGGCAGCTGATCCATGTTTTGCTCTCACATTGATGTTTCTCTCTCGCCCTTCCTCTCTCTCTGAGCGTCAATAAAAAAAATCTAGGGCATGGAGAGCCAGATTCTGTCCTGTAGGAAGAGTGCCTTTTCACCTGGGGTGGGAGGCTGGCTGGACTGTCCCTTGGTTTTCCTGTCTCCCTAAAGCTTGCCTCTGGTTCTGTCTACATAACGTCTCACAAGGCAGGTGCCAATGGTAGCAAGAGAGAGGCCATCTTGGTGAAGGAGGGGAACATCCCAGGTGAGCTTTGCCCCACCCAATGGCACAGAGGGTCTCAACCCAGTGAGCAGCTGGGACCGGCCTCAGCCATTTCAGGTCCTCAAACTTGCTCCTTAGAAAAGGTCTTGGATGTGTGGGTTGAACAAACATTTACGATGTCTGCCATGTGTCGGGCTCTCAGAATGAAGCTGACGTGGTTCCCGCCATCATGAAGTTTCTATCAGAGCAGGGAAGGCCTGGTAGAGGTTGGAGAGGAGCTGGCCTCTTCCACTGAGCACGGCTCCCAGGAACTCTGCCTCAGGTCAGTTCAGCCCTGTGCTCCTTGCCACTTCTCCAAACCTTCCTCCTCTTGCTTCTAATCACATCCTGTGGCCCTTGCTGCTTTATCTTCACCTACCCTTCCCATCGTTTCTGCATTTTATCTCATTGAAAAGTCTGCCCAAATAAATGAACCAACTGTGGTACATCCATACAATGGGATATTATTCGGTACTGAAAAGAAATGATCTACCAAGCTATGAAAAGACACGGAGGAAACTTACAAATATATTGCTAAGTGAAAGAAACCAATTTGAAAAGGCTATACTCTGTAAGATCCCAACTCCATGGCATTGTGGAAAGACAAAACTATTATAGAGACCGTGAAAAGATCAATGGCTGCCAGGGGTTGGGGGAAAGGTGTGAGTGATGAATAGGTGAAACAGGATGTTTAGGGGAGTGAAACTATTCTGTATAATACTGTTATTGTGGACACATGATTTCCTACATTTGTGAAAACCCACTGAATGGTACAACACAAAGAGTGAAACCTATGTAAACTATGGACTTGAGTAAATAGTAATGTATCCAAATTGGCCCATCATTGTAATAAATGCACCACACTAATGCAAGAGTTAATATCAGAGGGATCTGTGTGCAGGGGAAAAGGATATGGGAACGCTGTACTTTCTGTATACTTTTTCCGTAAACCTAAGACTGCTCTAAAAAATGAAGTTTATTCAAATTGAACAAATGAACAAATGGAAACCTCAGCCCAGGTCACCCAGAGCTCCCCCTGGCGTGAGCCCCAGCGCTCTTCCCAGTGCATCGTGTGGCTCTCTCTCGGCCTTTCTGCTTTGCAGTGAGGTCTGGAGACCATCCCAATCTCCCACCCATGCAATGCCTCCCTGACTCCTGCTTCCCCCTTCCTACCACCCGGGACTGGTCTTTCATGCGACAATGCTGGTGCCTCATCGTGCTGGCCTTTCCAGCTTCACTCCCACACCAGGCCACACTTTCTCCCTGGAACACGCGGGGTCCAGTGTGGGCCTTCCTGCTGGTCTATACATTAACCTGCTGTCTCCTTGCTCATCTCTTGTTAACGCACAGACCTTTCCCTAAGACCTTTGTGCAACCACTGACATTCTAATCACATTCCCTGCCCCCTGTCCATTCCAAGTCCCAGAAGAGAAAGATGAAAGATTCAGAGCTGACAAAGAAAGGAGACCAAAGCCTCTCACCTGTGGTCCTCCTGCCATGTGTAACCCCACTCACACTCCCGGGGAGTGCCTGCCAACTTTTGTTATAAGTCTTAGAGGCGAGTGGCCTGAGACCACATCCCCTCTACATTCCTGCACTGACCAGGAGGACGTTGGGACTCTAACCATTCATCTTTTTACAACCGGGGAAAAGCACAGCCCGCTGTTAATAATTGAGCTGTACATTAATGCATGGAGAATTGTTATCGCTGTTCAGTTATGGGAACAGGGCAAGCAAGACAATCCCCTGCTGAAAAACACAGGGCATACATTTTTCCAGCTGGTTCCAAGGGTCAGAGGTGGGGGTCGGGGAAGGCTTGCTCATGTACTTGCTCACATATGTCTATTGGGTTTGGTTGGGGGTAGGGATGGGACCTTAGTCTTTAGCAGGCTCTAAGCCAGGGGTCCTCAAACTTTTTAAACAGGGGGCCAGTTCACTGTCCCTCAGACCGTTGGAGGGCCGGACTATAGTTTAAAAAAAAAAACTATGAACAAATTCCTATGCACACTGCACATATCTTATTTTGAAGTAAAAAAACAAAATGGGAACAAATACAATATTTGTATTTGCATGTGGCCCGCGGGCCGTAGTTTGAGGACCCCTGTGTCTAAGCAAAAATAAAGTTGATTCTGAAAGACAATACGAATTCTCAAGTTTCCAGAAAAAGCAGTTGATCAACTCCTGTGAATGACAGGCGTTGAAATGACCAAGAGCCGGTTCATTCTGATGCTGTATCAGCAGTCCTGTGCTGAGCCTGCACGTCAGGCCACGCTGCGAAGGCTGAGCTCAATCCTGCAGGCGGGGAGGAGCCACTAAGGTTTCTGGGAGGTGACAAGAGTGAGGCAGGATAAAAGGAAAGACAGTGAAGAGAGGAACTTAGAGGAAAAGCAAAGGCAATAAAAGAATCGCCCTATTGTCTTAAAGATCCTCATCCACAGGCTGTCTGTCTGCTCAGAAACTAAACATGCATAGGGGAAGGGGGCGTATGTAAGAGCAAGCACATTTGGGGACGTGTAAGGCCAATCGAGACTCGAAGGAATTCTCCCAAGAAGGAATTCTCCCAAGCGTGACTTGCCTGCGGAGAAGCACCTCCTGGAAGCTTGCTCCTTAAACCTTCTCTCTCCACCCCTGGGGAGAAACCAGCAAAGGGAGCAGTCAGTCCCCCACAGGGACCGGGGAAGGGGGTGTTGGGGGGGGTAGCCAGGGCCAGGGGACATCTGCCCTGAACACAGAACCCTCACTGGCCCTGAGGGTCTTGCCTTAGATTCTCAACTCGCAGGCTTTGCAGTAGTGGTTTCACCCACTTCTTAGCTCTAGAATCCTGGCATGTTGCGGGGACTCAGTAATGTTTGGTGGACAAGAGGCTGTATGGCCTTCGAGCTACAGCTTCAGGATCACCTCAAACTGCCTGGCCAACGCTCTCATCCTGGAAATCACAGCCCCTCCTCCTCTGGTTCATTGAGAATTATCACGCCTGGGTGTGGGAGTGGCAGCTGAGAGGCACTGCTTTCTCTTCTACTTCCTCCCCCTCCTCCCCCCCCCCCCCTCCACCCACATCAGAGCATTCCCAGGACATAGTAAAAGGTCACACCTCTGGGAGAATGACTCCAAGTTTTCTGCAAGAAACATGGCAGAGGAGTGTGAGATAAATACAATCCCTTGCATCCTGGAGGGGAAATGGGAAAGCAGGCAGATGGGTTTAGCAGAGCAGAGATGCCCATTGCGTCTGACTGTTCACGCGTCTGACTGTCCGCGGCTCTGGCCGCCAGCGAAGCTACTGCGTGGCTTTCAGGAGAAGTCGCCCTGTCCCTTTGAGGAGGTTGCCCCGGACTGCCCTCCTTGGGGGCTCTTACAAAACCACTCTCTGAAATGTGCAACTGGTTTGGCCCTGGCCCATTCGGCCTCAAGGTAAGGAGTCTGTGTGGGAGGGAGGAACACTAGCCGCAGGGGGTTAGAAGGAACAAGGAACAGAGCACAGTGTTCCCCCTGACCCTCGGGTTCGCTCTCCGTGGTTTCAGTTACTCATGGTCAACTGTGGTCCGAAAATGTTTCAGAAATAAACAATTCAACTATTGAGGATCCCCACCCACCCACACTGTCTGCTCCTGACACTGACCGTCAACATGGCCATGGCCTGATGCTCCAGGATCACTCGAAGCAGATGACGCTCCTTTGGATGTACTGGTCAGAGGGTCAGAGGCAGCGGAACACTACGTCACAACGCCTAGGTCATTCAACTCACTTCAATTCATCACCTAGGCATTTTATCACCTCATATCATCAGAAGAAGGAAGGTCAGTACCGTATAATAGTATACTTTGAGAGAGAGACCACATTCATATAACCTTTATTACAGCGTATTTTTATAATTATCTTCTATTATTAGTTATTGTTGTTAACCTCTTATTGTGCCTAATTTATGAATTAAATTTCATTATAGTTATGTATGTATAGGAAAAAACATAGTAGATGTAGGGTTTTGGTATTATCTGCGATTTCAGACATCCACTGGGTATCTCAGCCCCTGGGGATAAGGACAAGGGTGACTACTATATGGGGCAGAGGGTAGCTTGGGGCCTCAGGGAGCAAAAGCAAACCCAAACCCTAGTTAACAGGGCCTGCCTTCTCAAGAGACTTGTTCCTCCTGAGGCTTCCCAGGCCACCATGAGAGAAGCTATGCAAAGGGAGCCTGAGGACTCCTGCCTGGGAGCCTGGGCAGCAACCCAGAGCCACTGGCAGGATGTGCCAGCCTGGTGGCAAACGGACTCAGAGAAGGCCAATCGGACCTCCCTGAGGAAATGGGTCTCAGTGGTGGGGCATGTAGGTCCCTGGAACTGCTTTCTTCTGACCCCAACTTTTTCTTTTAAAGTCTAAGATAACTCAGTTTGCTAAGAACCTTAGCCATGAGGAGACCTGAAAAGACAAATGGGAAAGGAAGAGGGTAAGGCCGGCTCTACCCTTGACCTGGAGAGATTCACAGGCTCAGTGGAAGTGTTTGAAGCTACAGGCACTTTGTTTTTGTTTATTCTAACTTTGAACATTAATCAGCCACAGGCCCATCCCTCCTCTTCTGGCTGCTTCCCCAGGTTTATCCAACTGCCGGACTTCCCCATGGGAAGGTCCACCATTGCTCAGATCTGAGAGTGACGGCGCCATAGGGCTCAGGTAAATGACTAACGCTCAACCGAATGTCACTCTGGCTGAGTTTGCATAGACACCACCACTCAGCAGCTCAATTCCTATGGCCCGTCACTCTCAACCACAACTGCCGGTCCCTCACACTCCCATCAGGCTTTGAGGCTGGAGAGAAGGACCTACAGGGGGTGAGTCTGGGTGGAGGCTGAAGATGAACCAGCCAAGTGAGTTAGCTCCATTCCCAAGAGAGAGCTCTCGCCCTGTGGCTGAGACCCTGGGGACAGCCTCCGCTACTGTGAGTGCTGCTCGGAGCATGCGTCCTTAGTCATTCTGTGGATGGCGCAAAGCTCTCAGAAGGCCAGGTTCCGGGTTCCTTCCCCACTTGGGTTGGCCACCTTGGATCTGCATCAGCCCCCCAGGGCCCTCCTGGGACATGCAATGGCATGAGGACGAGACTGGCAAGCTGAAGGTGCAATGCCTGGGCGGGCGAGGGGGAAAAGCAGCCACTGACACCTGCCCTGTTGATGGGGGAGATACTGCATTGTAGATGCTGACGGGCCACTTCTCTAGCCAGCCCTTCATCCCTCTGACAACATCCTTTGGCCCCTCTTTGGATTCCACAATGGCAGAGCAGTATTCTAGGGAGCCCATCCCTCCTTCAGGGATCTGACAAATGCTATCTCCTGTGGACATCTCTGAGAGCAGGAAGGTTGAGAAAACCTTGCCCCAAAGACGGATTCTCATTTCCTGCTCAACTGGGGCTGGCCCCAGGCCCTAGCAGAGGATTGCTTAGTAAACTCGCCTGCTCAAGTAAACAAACAGAACACTTTATTATGTCATGCCCTTGACTCTGAAACATGCCTTCAGTCCTCAGTGAAGCTGCAAAGCTGATAACCTTCAATGGGTTCAATGAGTCCCCTTGGCATTGGACAAAATCTGTTTTTTTTTTGGCAGCTCGCTCACAGGATTCTTTATTTCAGCAAAAGGTCATTGGTGTCTTTAACCTTGCCTGTCTCCTTTCTTAAAGACACGAGTGTGAATTCTTGACTCTAATTTCCTTTCTGTGCTACAGAGTAAACTGGCTATTTAACTTATTTATTTATTTATTTTTTGCATTGCATTGCACTGTATTGTATTTGTGATTAGGTAGCAGATACCTAAATCTCTAAATAAATTGGGCTGTTGAAAGAAATATTTGTTGGTTTCCTGCTTTATTTTTATAACTTTCACCTCTCGGGCTTTGTTCTCTCTTTCCTCCCCGCTCCTTCCTCGCCACTGGAAAGTATGTGAGTTACGCCTACCTGGTTTGAGTAATGAGATGGGTCACTTGGACTTGTTTACAGCAGCTGGGAAGGCGGTGTCCTCAGTGAACTGCAGACACTCTCACAGGTAGCCTGCTAGTCAGGTGACTGCTAAGGACACAGCCTGAAAGCTCCCTGCAGCCAGCTGACCTGCCCTGGAAGTCTTCGTTCCTAAGTAGCAAGCACCACAATAACAACAGCAGAGATGACACGAGCTGGAGCTGAATATGCCACCTGCCTGTGCTGACGGTGTGCCCACAGGCGGGACACGAAGAAAGCAGGGCCCCTGGGCAGGGAGTGCCAGTGCTGGAACTGGGTGGCTTTTCCACAGAAGCAGAAACATAAGGAAAATGCATAGAAATGTGGCTCTAACCCCCTCTCCCCCTTGAACTCACCAAAAGGTTAGAGTCTGCAAGTAAACAGGCATTATTTACGCATAAAGAAATGCCATAGGAGAAACACAAGATCAGCCCAGGGACAGAATTCCATGCGAACCTTCTTTCTTTTCTCCCCCGGAGCCAGGCTGTGTAGTTGGTGGGCATTTCCTGTCCAGATATGAAGGGGGTTATGGTGGTGAGATAGACAACATGTCTGGTTGGAAACTATTTTCTAAAAGGAGGAGCTGTGGAGCAATAATTTATTCACTCTCCTTTGATTAAGGTCATGATAAAGAAAAGTTTGCAAGGTATCATTTTTATAGCTATATATTTATCCTAAAGGAAGTGATATTTAGGGAAGTTAAAAAGAGTTTTCCAAAAAAATTTCTTTCAAAAATTCGAAATGAAAAAGAACAACATATTTGTACCCTTTCCATTTTGCCCGTTATGGTTCTCTAAATAAAATCTGGTGATTACATGAGCAATGCAGTGACTACATCACCGACCTCAGTATTCCAAAATAAGTTGACTGAGAGCCTGTAAATGAGACTGAAAAGGCACGTTTGGTGCATTTCAAGTCCCACTACATTTTATAGCTTCCTTATCTCCCATGAATTCTAAATCTGTACTCCACGGGATCAAAAGTTCCAAAAATATGATATCTATCATCACAACTAAACAGAAACCCAGGACTGAGAGAATAGAAAAGAAAATAAGGCTTTAATAAATTGTCGGAAAAAAAGAAAAAGCAGGGACAGAGGGTTAGTCCCAGCCCAGATCCCGCCCCGATTGTGGGTGTGAGCTTTAGAACTGTAGGACTTCCATCCTGCCTGCGTCCTCCATGCTCTGAGTGGTTCTGGTTTGGATGATTGACAGAGAGGACGGGAACACAGGAGGGCCAAGGGCACTCTGAAACTGGCTGACTGATGACAGGGAACAGATGACATGGCAGGAAGACCGGGGTGGAAGTTACTAGCTCTGAGGTCCTGGGCAGTTTTCCACGAACCTATTTCTCCCTTTGTAAAATGGGAATGAAACTACTTCACAGGGCTATTGTGAGGGTTGGAAATAATATAATGAATGTACCTGTCCTATATGAGGCAGTTGGTAAATGGCAATTGTCATGATAGTGATGACCTCTGACACAAGGGCAAATCAATTCTGTCTTGGCCACAAACTGCCCCAGAACCTTCCCTCTAAAAGTCCTGTTTACTCCAGGGTGAGGGAAGGTTGTTTGTTAGTCACTCTCTCTCAGGGCCGCTACTAATCTCTTTACTGAGTGACAACCACTTTGCCCAATAGCCGGTGAGCGGGTGCTCAGAAAGATACTCCTTGGAAAGCATAGCTTGTTTTCACCTAATGAGTTTTTACATGATAAGGAAAGGGAGATACTTGTAGGGTACATTCTCCATGAACAAATCTCTTCCTAACCAAGTTGCTCCGGCAGCTGTGGCTGGAGGATGGGAGCAAGGGGAGATACCAGAACTTCTGGGCACTGCTGTGAGGTGTCATGACATAGGGCTGGGGTTCTAATTCTAACATGAAGAACGGTGCCTTGCCTTTGTATGGAGCTCTCCAGTTTTGGGGGTCCTCTCCTGTGAGCTATCAGGCCAAATGGTACCAGCCTCATTTTATAATAAGGAACCAACAGCATGAAAGGTTAACAGATTCGCCCATGACTGCCCAGATGAACAGCAGCAGACTTAGAACTCAAACTCAGACCTTTCATCCTTCTTGCCCAAGACTCTGTTCACAAGGCCCTGCTTTTCCTCCCCATTAGCTGTATGGCACTAGCACATTCCATGCTCAACACTCAGGTCTAGAGATGGATTCGGTCTTTACCAATCTGTGTAACCATGAGCAAGTCGCTCATGCTCTCTGAATTCCAGTTTCTTTTTTACATGGAGATATGACAGCCCTCAAAAATTATAGAGTAGAAGGAACAATGCATATAAAGTTATCAGTATGGTATCTAGTGCATAGCAAATGCTAAACATTCAATTACTATTTCTTAAATATATTTTTCCCCAAATATATTTTTATTGATTTCAGATAGAGGGAGAGAGATAGAAACATCAATGATGAGAGAGAATCATTGATTGGCTGCCTTCTGCATGCCCCATACTGGGGATTGAGCTGGCAACCCGGGCATGTGCCCTGACCGGGAATCGAACCGTGACCTTCTGGTTCATAGTTCGACTCTCAATTATTAATTTTATCATTGTTGTAATTCATCCTTCCAGGCTTTGATTTCCTCCATGGAACCGGGAAGGCAGTCATGGGGTAGAAGAAAGAGCACTGGGCAAGACATCTGCCATAAGACCAGAGTCCCAGCTGCTTATGAGCCACGTGGCCACGGGCCTGCCACTTCACGGTTTTGCCTTAGTCTCCTAACCTTTGAAAAATGAGGCTAGGAATCTGTATTTCCTGGAGCTGCTGTGACAATGGAATGAAAAATAAACCCCTGTAAGTACTCCACAAAGGCCAGGCAGTGCCCAGGCGTGGGCAGAAATGCACTACTGGGAACCTTCTCTATCTCTTCTCCCATGTTTGGACAAAAAAGTTGCTGAAGAGCCTTCTATCTCATAAGAGTGACTAAATCTTGGCTCCCTCTCCTGTGACTCACAGAAGCTGCATCAAACACATACAAATTCAATCACTCGCTTTCCTGGTGCATCTCGAGAATCCAGTGAGAGGACACTGCTCTGGGGCAAGGGAGTAAGGTGGAAGTGAGGAAGTGGTAACCAGCTGGACCAAAAAAAAGAAGTGGAACTGTCACCAGAGCTGGCATTGGCCAATTTGGGGGGCTTATCTCAGCAGTGCCAGAGAAGGTAGCTGACACTGGCATATGCTTGCCTAAGTTAGTAGCTTGGAGAAAGACTGACGTACTGCAAATGAGTATAGCAAGAGAGAGTCTGTGCAGCTTGGGACACACAGTTCCTAGGGAGGGAGCGGGCTTATCTACTTGATTTAGTCTCTGCCAAGATGTTCAGGAATTTCAGCAGTCCCAAGAAGACACTCAGTTCCTAGGGAAATCATTGACTTGGGAGAACGTGACCCAGTCTCTTGCAAAACCGTGACCCTCCAAAATATGTACTTAATCCTTGAGTGAGATTTCTTATGTAAGAAAAGCCAAAGCAGAAAGAAATGGATTCCTTAATAGAGCTCATGTCTAAGTAGAGGACTTTGGATTTTTTCTTTTCTTTTGGCTCTCTAGCAAGGTTTAGCGGTTCATTATCACTCCTGCTCAACATTGCAACAGGAAAAAAACCCAATTCTCCTTTCCATCAAGTGGTTACTTCTGCCTACACAGCCTCCCTAAGGCAACAAGAGCCAGATCTAGTTTGGCAAATGATTCTGAGAAATGTATCATCTGACCCAGATGAGAGCTGAATAATGGAGGGAAGTCCTGTTTAGTCACCAATGTACTTCCATCATGGTACGACTAGTAGCATCACAACATCTGAAATTAGCCCTGTGACTGGGACACTTGGACTTGTAACTGATTCAGATGTGAGTTACGCATAGTCTCCTTTTGTTCTGGCCCGGGAGACGGGGAAAGTTCTAGTATAACAGCTCAATTTAACACATGCTTCTTAAATATTAGCCATGTGTAAGGAAGGGGAACCTTGGGCCAAGAACAATGCATTTTAAGGTACCAAAACAAAAGATACAGTTTCTCCACAGATAATTATCCAAATGTCATATTTCCCCCTCTCCCCGCAACTAAGGAGTTTTTAGCTATTTGCAAACAATTGAGAGATTAAACAAATACATTTTAGATAAATCTCTTAAGAATGGTGATCACAATGTGGCTCCTTTCTATCTTAGAAAAATATGTGAGGGCATCTGTTTGAAAGTAAACTAACAATACAAAGCATGCTAACTCTGAAGCTCTGACTGAAGACAGGAATGCAGCATAGCCTTAGGCCATTCCTATAATCCTCTGAAAGCCTGGAAAAACATTCAAGTAGCAATTATTTTATGTGTCCCTAAAAAGTCAGTGAAAATTCCTCTGTTAATGGAGCTTGTATCCTCTGACAATCAAATTGGGTGTCGTCTAATGATCCCATTCTTGTCCTTGTTCAGAAACATGTTATAAATCCCTGATGGGTTCTCGTCGTCATGGTAGACCCTGTGATCTGGTTGATCCTGCTCCAAAAGGACACTTGAGAGAGGAGAGAATTTGAACCAACCACATCTTTCATCTGGCTTTGGAAGGAGCATCAACTACCTGCAACCTTGTGAACATGAAGCTTCGAATGCTTTCTTGTTTGAGAATGATTTTTTCAGAAAGACTAAGCTGCCCTTTTCTACAGGCAGTAGGAAACTGACTGGGTCCCTGTGCTCTAGAAATTGGGCTCTTGGCAAAATACGGTTAAGAAATCCTTAAGATACCATCAAGTATGTGGTTATGCCAGAGGTGACAGTGTCCACAGAAGATGACTTGCTGAGCAGGATATTTTGCTGAGTATGTATCAAGACCCACTGGAGGGAAGAAAAGAGATAAGGAACTGAGATTTCTTGAGCTCCTGACATGGCCAGGAATCATTATGCTGTGTCTGAAATTCTCACAAGGAGCTGTTAGCATCCTGTTATGCCAAAACTTTGGGTCTAACACCATCCTGCCCATTTGTGGTCTGAAGTGTTATCCACCACTTATGGCGTAGAGGGGAGCTACCAAATGATGGCACAGGAAACTACCAAATGATGGTACAGTAGTTGTTAATACAGATCTGAAGGGGCTCTGCGTTAGACTAACACAATTTTGCTAATAACCGGTCAAACATCTGTGTAAAAAGAGCAATGATTCATATGGCGCAAGGAAACTACAATGGGACAGACTTCCTTAATGAATATAATTTCTAATAACAAAGTTCCTCTTTTCATCTATTGGACAAACATGGAAATTGAGTCTTTACCAAAAGTTCAGCATTGTTCTACTAAATATTTTGGGCAGGTGGTTGGTATTTTTCTCCTTGAATCTTTGTCTTGGGTATCCTTGGTATTGCAAGTCAAGATTGAGAAAGTTAAGACTGATTTTTTTTGGGGGGTCATAAAGAGAACACAGCACGTATCAGTGGTTTTAAGAAAATTCATGTGTTTCTTATAAATATTATTTCATGGAACAGTGTTTTCATGATCCTTTGAGGGATATGTATTTCAAAGGATAACTGTGTGAAACACAACTGGAATTTAAATTTGTAGTCTTATTTTTGGATTAGAAAAGTATGCTGGGCTGAGAGTATATGATACATACTTATACATGATGATGGAATGTTTAGCTATGTTTTGAATCTTACAACTAGGGTAGGCCCATTTCCTAAGGGAGTGGAGTTTGGGATTTTCATTGTACAAAGCAGAGAGTGCCTAAAGGATGCCTTTAAAGCGACCCTGAAGGCGCAGTCTTATTTTCTGGGATTTATAGTGTTATTCTTCAAAGACTCTCAACTTGACAATCTTATTACCCACAAGGAGCAATAATATATAATGTCAGAGTCAAATACTTTCCTGGTAGACATAATCTTAAGAGAGAAAAATGAATTTTTATGAGATTCAAAAGATTTTTAAACAATATGGGAAATGTCACAAATTCCAAAGACTGGACTGACCAGATCCACACATGATAATGGTGGAGATAGGAGGAAGACCTTGAATAACCCGTGTCTTACACATCTCTCATGTCCACTTTCTAAAGATTAGTTGACTTGAATTCAGGTGGCACACAAACTCAACAATGCCACATCTTTCAAGGCATACACTGACTACCTTTTAAGAGAGTAACAAAAATGTGATTAACTAGCTTTCTTTCTCGGTTTCTAATCTTTTTCCTTCCCCAGGAAAAGGAAATGTCCTTTTCCCCCAGGACATTTAGTCATCTGTAAAGGGGTTTCATTGGCAAGACAGCACTTGAATTTATTTATGTACGTAAAATTGAGAAACATGTTAGTTGTTCATACAAACTTGGACTCATTAACTGCGTTTAGCTAAGATTCATGGGGGAAATGTATAGCATAATAAAATCTTAAAACTTGAAAGGATTTAAGAAATCATTTATTAGATTTTCATAAAGAAGTCCCCATTTTTGACTACTTATAAAGACATGGGGTGACAGGGGAGAGGAAGAAAACATTAGACGATAGCCCAAACCAAGACCTACAGTTATCCACAGCCAGAAACTTGAAAGAAATGTCAGGATTAACATGACTCATGACACTGAATTGAGAACTATAATTATTAACCAAAATATGATTTTCTGTTGAAAACAAAAGGAAGCTGTTGGCTTCAAAGAAGGTAGGGAGACAAATCATTCCTTTCCTGAAAACTATTTAGCTATCCCTCTGCTGAACGAAATAATCTTCAACCCAGTGGGCGATCCCTTCTATATTTGTATAAAAATCTCAGTGGAAAACAATAAAGTGTTGATGTCACAAGACTGAAGAGTAGCATACTAAATCCTGGAACACACATCCAATCGGGAAAGGCTACGGGGAGAAAGGGAGAGTCCTGGAAGAAGGGCGCCAGAAGACGATGAGCCTTTGTGTTCTCTAGTTAGCAGAGCAGGCAATGGGGAGGAGAGGAGCCCAAATCAGAGCACAGAGCTCCATCAGCCACCTTCCTGTCAGAAGCTGATACTGAGCTAGGACATGACATTCTGCCCTCCAGCTGCAGATCAAAGAGCCTATAGCCTAGTACATATTGAACAGGGCTAGGAACACACTGTGCATGCTATGTGTTCACAAACATTGGGTCTAAGCAGATTGATTTTCATTCCCGGATGAGTAAGCATGAAAAATAAATAGCATAGAGAGTGGGAAAAAATGCATAACAAGGGGACCGAAAGACCATCGGAAAGATAATTTTAGAAAACTGTTTCACATCCTCAACTGATGTAGAAACAAGAGACTGTGAAAAAAGACAGATAACCATTATGAGAGAAAAGGATGGAATGAAAAAGGTGCCGGGTGAGATCTGAAGAGGTTATAGGGAAGCCAAAAATGAAAAGTATTCATATGGTATGTCCACCGAAGGCAGTAAGAAGTAAAACTGATGCTACAGGAGACAGAATCAGACACTCTTTAAAAGAGGGGTGGGGAACATCTGGCCCACGG